GGGGTGCTCGGCCGCTGCTTTCTTGCGCGCAGCTTTACTCATGTCGCCCAGCGGGTGCGGCTCCGATGCATGAGTGCAGTGCCGCAGTCCCACCTTGTGGGCAATCTCAAAAGCGAGTGCCCGCGGCAGGTCGTCTCCGTCGCTGGGAGGGTTTGCTTGCAGGAACTGAACGAGCTGCTCGTGACATGCCGTGGCGTTGCCATCATCGTAGGCCGCAACGTCGGGCTCCGGGAGGATACTAGACATGGTGGTGTGCTGGTGTGCTTGTGTTTGCAGACAAACACTTGAAACCAAGAGCAGCGGTAAACGCGCCCAGGCGGAACGCCTGCCAATGTATTTCTCGAGAAGTACAGAAGTAACCTATTGCCCCAGGGAACTTCGATGCCCATTTAGTGATCATTTTTTGTGATCATTTTGGTATTACTGGTTTTGAGACTACACGGGACAACCCGAGATGGTGAAAAACGCAGGGAGCGCACAATCGCGGTGATGTTTTGAGGGCCGAGGAACCTTTCTAGTGTACCGACAGACGTACCCAGCGTGTTGCAAGGCGGCGACACGGCCGCCGTGCGTGTTTAGCCCAGGTTCGACTTCTAGACAAGAAGTCTCTTTTTCAGTTGAGAGAAGCGACGTTTCTGCTCTGCGGACCCCCTATTTTTCGAATAGTCCCGCCGCATTTCCAGGCTGCTCGCCTTGCGGGCTGGGAGGAGCCCAGTCCCAGAGGGGTTAAGCTGTAGACTCTCGTCTAGACATGTAGGACGTGTACGATGATTGGATACACGAGCATATACATGTATCGCTATATATCGTATTCGGTGACACCATATGATCTCGATTCGGTATCAGGAGAAGAACAAGCAAGTTTATCAGACCGCGACCCGTCGAACAAGAGTTGTGGAGGTAAACGTAGCCTAGACTAGCTATGCGGGTTCCCTCCGATCCTCCGTAACCCTCAAGGTGCTGTTTATGATTGCAGCAGAGGCTGCGAGATGCTCTCGAGTGCTACGTATTGGGCGCTTGTAAACCCATATATGTTTCCTTACTGCTAGGCCTGGTTAAAGTAGTGGGCTTCCTGCAGAGAACACAAAGACACCGACCGACCAGGCTGCCAAGACAACATGACACCAGACACCAAACGGTAAGATACGCAGTGATCGTTGACTTTGGCCCACTTTGATTGGCCCACCGGGGGGCTCCGGAAAATCATGGTTCTAAACCAAGTTCTTAACCACTTTCGCACCTGCTTCCTGCCACCTCAGCTGACGCTGTTCCTGCAGCAAACAGCAGTGCACCTGGTGCCTGGTGCCAAGCAACCACCGCGAGATGATCCCCGATCGTCGAAATCATGCTTCTCCAGCTCTGCTGCTGCTGTGCCTCTTGTCCGTGCACTTTGCATGCGACCAGGCTACAGCGTGGGTCACCAACGCCCCAACCTTGCGCCAGCGGCGACCTCTCCAGCAGTCAACACTCAGAACCACGTCGCTCGCAGCCGGGCGCAAACGCACAACCATAACGGCCGTAGCAGCACTCCGTTCTAATTCGGCCCCTACAGCTGCGTCGGAAGCCGGTGCGGATTCTCGGCCATCGTCGACGGCAATCGTGGGTGGCGGGCCGACGGGGCTTGCGGTGGCTCTGATGCTAGCTCGGAGAGGGTATCGGGATATCAGCGTTATGGAGCGCCTGAACCAGCCACCGCCGCCATCGTCTCCGAAATGGGACAACGCGGAAAGGTCGTACAATCTAGGCATAGGCGGGAGGGGACAGGTGGCGTTGTCGAAGCTTGGGGCGGCCGATAGGGTGCTGGATTGGTGCGCGGAAGCTGTGGTGAGTTCTACAGCAGTAAATGACGTTGCTGGTGAGGTGGTTTTGTTGATGCGTGAAGTCAGCACAGCCGCTGTATCTACACACAACATATGTTGCACGCCGGTACGGGCGGGAACGAGCGCCAACAATTCGTGGCACGTCGCGAATACATTCTGCTCTGTCGCACGATCGCGACCATAGTAATAGTTTGAGCCACTCTGATTACAATCGTTGAAAATGATTCATGCTGCTGGACTGCAGTACATCGTGTACAGCAGAACCTTGTTGTAAAACACATCATATGGTTATGTTTTGATATGGTTGTTAATTATTTTGGGGGGTTTGGGAGGACGGTCGTTGTGTTCTTGGAAGCCAAGAATAAATTGAAGTTCTATAACACAGGCAGGGTTCCCTCGGTGGAATGACACCTAGGTCGGGGTTGTCTCTACCCACTACCGGGGGGGGGAGCTTTCTTCCTTGAGTTTTGGCAGGGAGAAGGTCTCAGAAGAGAGAGAGAGAGAGAGAGAGAGAGAGAGAGAGAAAGAAAGAGAGAGAGCGGCACCGGAGTGGCGAGGAAAGGGAGGACCGAAGGCCTATTATTCTCGTGTTAGAAGGTGGTGCTGTAACGGTCGTGTCCAAGCCGGGTCTCTTGCTATTCAACTAACAGCAAGATAATCCAGCTCAGATCGTATTAAGTCCTACTTTTGCTTCTGGAGTAATATGACATCTACACCTGTCCTCCGTTCACCGTACCTCTGTAATTCCGACGGGGGCTATTTTCGTGGGCAGGTCTTGTGGTGGTCTAGTTGTCAAACTTGACAACTCCCTAGCGGCGGTTTGTGGATTCGATCTTCTCTGCGCAGGTTTCACTTCCGGCAGGATTAATTCCAGCAATTGTCGTAAAAGCCTATCATCCAGGTCGTGAGTTGTTGTTGTTGTTGTTTCTCACATTAGCTCTAAAAAAAAAAAAAAATTGGGAGCCCGTGGTCTCAAAACCCGGCATACACGACCCCACGAAGAAACAGAAAAAAATAGGGTACAAAAACCACTCGGAAGAGAAACAAAATGATAGAAAGAAAGACCAGCTACCGCACCAAACGAGAAAGAGCGTCGAGGAGACCGATCAAAATAAAATAAAAGGAGAACGGGGAACGCTTCCCACACCCGCCTACAACGCCGGAGGGTTCCGTGCCGGGTTCCCGCCGACCAGGCATCCCCCGCCCTGCACCACACCCCAGGGGGTGCAGCAAGACGGGGGGCGAAAAACAAACACATATATATTCCCACAAAAAAAAAAAAAAACTTCGGCTTCACAGTCGACTAATACGGCACGACAACGAACAACGAGGGGCACCATGATAACAAAAAAATTAAGTTTTTCCTGGGCGAGCTTCCTCTTGTGTTACCGCGGCTGATACGTCAGATATGTCCACCGAACGGCTTGCAGCCCGGCGCCAGAATAGATGGGACGAACACACACACCCTAAACTTGCCCAACGAAGGAAAGCATGGAGGTATTGAGAGAATATGCAGCAGAGCAGAATGCATTCGTGTTTTTTTTAGTGAGAAGCGACCATCCTTGGTTCGGTTTTATTTCCTTTTGTTTTCCGGACACGGCCGCCACCCTTCTAGCGTACCGTTACTCCATGGGGTCGGGTGGCCCTGCGTGCATGCTACATGACGTTGAACCTCCCACCGTCGCAATCGCAGTACCCGGTTTCATCCGCCCCCATCAACTCTGTGAAACGGCTCCTTGTGTGACCGGCGATCTGGAACAGGGCCGCAAGGACTGGAACCCGCAAACCCCGGACGGTGCTGAGAGGATATTTTCTGAGCGCAAATACAAAACGAAGGTACAGCAGCAGCAGCGTTTTCCTTTCACGAGGTTATTCTCGTCGGCGTTTGGGGTTCACGAGTTGCAGCACGGCAGATTTCACGGCAGGATTATCGTGCCCTTGGGATTGCTGGCAGAGAAGAAGGTTTCTTGTGTCGGATGGGAGAAGAGTCGATTTGTTGATGGCGTTGATGCCGATGTCGATGTTTCGGGAGGGCTATCTGCCCTCGGACGGCTGACTCAGCACGTAAGCCCGTCCTATGTCACGACGCGAAAGGAGATATGTTTGGTAACGAAGTCATTCTTCTCCCCCCTCGAAGGTTATCGCGAGGGACAGGCTCGCGAGCTGCCTCCTCGAAGAGATACGAGAAAAGCATTCGGACGCCGTCACAGTCCGCTTCGACGTCGAGTGCACCGGCGTCAAGTGGCTCGAACCCGGGGGTAAGGGCTCGGGAGCAACGCTGTCCCTCAGAGACACCTCCGGCGGGGAGACGTCCGAGTTGACGGCGGACTTCATCGTCGCGGCGGACGGCGTGAAGTCGACGATAAGGGACGCCTTGGAGGGGAACAAGGCCCTCACGCGAGCGCTGTCGGGCGGTGATGTGCGGGTCAAGAGGTTCCCGCGGGCTAACGAGTTCGCCTACAAGATCGTGCCGTTCAAGCTCGATGCCGGCTGGAGGTGAGAGACAAGAGAGAGAAAGGAATGAGCGTTTTTTTTATTGTGCTGATGCTGGTGATGGGAGCAGATGAATTTGTTGCTTTGATGCTGTTGCTGGTGATGATGGAACAGGGTTTTGCCCGTTTGTTGTTGATGATATCCTAGCATGTTATGTCTCAGCTGTGGCCGTTTTCGGGTGGGCTTCTGCGCCCTCATCATTCGCTAGGCCTTTGTGCTGAAAGAGCACCCGCACAGAGCAAGACCCGCCGGTCAAGCCTCCTTCCGCCCCCTTTGGGTGTCATGCGTCGCCGGGAAGGTGTGCTAACCCCGGTGCCCCTACCCCCGCCCGCCCGTCTCTCCCCGTGCTACCAACTACTACTCCGCAGAAACGACTTCAACTACTCGCACAGGTGAGGCGACTACCAACCGGCGGACATGTTGCCTGGTCGATGCGGGTCGTCGACCCCCAAGAGTGGCACGCACTTGGCGCGTTTTCGTCTTTCTGCCCCGGCGGGGGGCCTCCCTCCCTCCCTCTGTCCGTGTGTCCTCAGCGCCACGCAGCGCTCGCAGGCAGTCTTGACGGCGGCTGGCGCACGGACCCGCGTGGACACTCAAGGGGTTCCCACGACACACCCGGTTGCAAACAAAAGCCTTCCTCTTCTCCCCCCGTACAGACGCGCCGCTGAAAACGGGCACCCTTTCGGTAGTTGTGATCGTTAGTGCTGTCCAGCGAGATTGTCCTAGGCAGGGGCGCCCTACGAAGATATCCTGCGAAGACAAACGCCCGTCTGAGGCCATGCATGCGGTTGTACGCTTGGGGATCTGTCGCTGTGCCTGCGCATGCCTCTCGCGCAAGACCTTTGACCCCACAAATCTGTTTTCAATAACATGGTTTCCAGGACAAAGGGAGGAATTACGTTGGAGGCGCTGCCCACGAAAGAGGGAGGACAGGTCGGCGTGCTGCTCTTCAGGCCCGACGACGAGCGGATTCTGGGGCTGAAGGACGCGGCGGATGGCCGCGCTCTATTCGAGGTGTGCGTGTGCGCTTATGTGTCTTTCACCGCCACCCCCTTTGTCCTGCCGTCCCTACCGCTCGTGTTTAGTTCACCACATCGCTGAGTCATGGAATTCGCCGTCCCCCTTGCATCCACCTCTGCAAATCCCGCGACGCTACCTCTTGCCACCTACTGTGCCGCCGCAGGAGCTGTTCCCGCAGTTCGCTGGCATGGTCAAGGACGAGGCCTACGAAAGGCTCGCTCTGCAGGAGGTGTCGCGTCTGCCGGCCTTTTCCTACACGGGACCGGTCTTGCATCTCGGCAAGAGCGCCGTCCTCCTCGGTGAGACTTCCGTTTGCTACTGCTCGCGTCTTTGGCTGCTTGCAGGCACGTGCTCCTTACCGTTATGGTCTATTTTTCTGTTCCAGAGCATGTATTTGGGACTACTACTGTTGTTGACACGGTTATTCGATATCGTTCCGTGGTTTTGCTTTGGAAAACCGAGAACAGAGGTCACTCGTGCAGCATGTGGCGGTAGCGACGTGGATGGTGTCCGATTTATTCGTATCCGGTGGATTGGACATTTTCTTTCCCCTTCGATGCGGTTTTCCTTGACGTCTCTAAGATGAAGTTTCCGGCACTCGCTAAGCGCGGTCGACGCCTATGTCCAGGTGACATTCTTGCACATTCTGGCACATTCTTGCTGGCGATGCAGTGAGACCTTCCTTACAACGTGACACAAGATACCACATCCGTGTGATACCATTTTGGAGGTTGAAAAGTTGTCACACCGGTATGGTATCCTGTAGGGGGTGTGATATCTTGTGTGATCTGTCTGATAGACTGCACTTACAGGACTCCACCCCGCAGGGGGTGTGATAATGATGGGGTGTGAAAACGTTCCCATGGGACTATGTGCGCCCACACGACCCAACCTGCTGGGGGGGGGGGGGGGGGGGGGGGGGGGGCTGAATGCTCATCGTTGGGAAAAAATCGCTCTGATAAATATTCCAGGTTCGGGGAAAGGGGGTGGGGGGTTGTGGGGGCTGGACATTTTGCCTTTCGGGGGAATGCCGCTCTGATAAATATCACAGGTTCGGGAAAGCGCAGGGGTATGGCTAGGGTGAGTTTGCGATCTGAAGGTGTTCGCGCTGGCCGTCTTGCAGCATCAGCCGATTGGAGAGCGGCAGTGGNCAGGCTGGGGGGGGTGAGAACGAATGTTTTTTCGACGTTTGGGCCGGCGTTGTGTGCAAAAACGAGGACAGCGCGCCCAAACCTGAGCGAAAAGACGACCAAACTTTCGCCGTGTGTATGTACGAAATAATGCACAGTCTGAGCCGCAATTCTTTCATCAGTGTTGTGTGCTCCGTTCATCTCCGCGGTGTTTTCTGTCGCCATTGCTGTAGAGCAGGGTTGTGTGCGCTCGTGTGCCTGATCACCGCCTACTGTACCACACCGGTGTGACATAGCGCTATTTGGACATAAGTTCACGTCTTACCTCAGGGGGGGTCGTATCTTCCGTGACCGTCTGATAGATGCGGTGGTTATTTCGAGGGTGGAAAAAAAGTATCACACGGGTGTGGTTTTCTGCCCATTTTCGTAAGGATTGTGGTATCTTCCGTGGGTGTGATATAGGATGTCACCTACGATAACCCTAGAATCTTCAGAGCCATTTTGTACACAGCGATTTTGCTTCCAAATTTCTGACTTCCCATATTTCCAATTTTTTCCAATGATTTCGACACGAACTCCTTCTAAATTTTTCGATGCCAACAGTTTCCAAATGTGCCAAATTTTCAAATTTTCCCGCGGCCGCCAGTCGAAGTTCAACGTTGTACAGATTCGGAAATTTAAAAATCTGGAAGCGAAACAGCTGCTGTATGAAACGGCCCTATGTCAGTGCGTTTCATGTTTCCATCAGTGTTTTGTGTGTTCGCCTGCTTCATCAGTCGCACTTCGTACTTCGTGTTTCGCACGAAACTACAGTACCTATTTCCTGAACACGCAACGTTGAACAAGGTATATCTGGCTACCTTCCAGTAGCCTTGGCAGGGTTTTTCTGTTGAAAAAACATGTTGGATACAGCATGCAATCGGGGATGTTGGGTAAGGGTTACGGTTAGGGAATAGGGTCTGCGTACCCCCTCCCTTTTCAATGTCCTCATGAAAAATAATCTCGTTAAGGCGGTTCTCTTACCTTTCGTGCCTCCTGAAACCTCAGCCCAGATACATATCCAAAAGCGGGCCCCGAGATCAGAAACGACAAAATTGCGTCGAGGCTCGGTTTCTTACTTCACCGCCGCTTTATCTTCTCAAAAGCCTGTCTCCTTATTTATCGTGAAAAATTTTAGCCTCTGTTGTCGACGAAATATTTCGTAACTGTGGACCCGTTCTGTATGACGAAGCAACTATACTTCACGTACATGAGCTCTTGGGTGTATGAAACCGATGGCACGCATGATTCACCGTCTCTTTGGCCCTGCGCGTGCTTGCAGGCGACGCGATCAAGTCCGTCAAGCCGTACTTTGGCCTGGGGGTCAACACTGCCTTCGAAGACTGCATTGCACTCGACAGGTGCGTGACGGGCGAGAGTTTGGATGTATATGTATATGTCGATCGAGATGTTTGCACGAGTGGCGAGGGGGGGGGGGGCGTACTCTTATGTTTTGCATGTCTTAACGGTTAGACCATTGACCACGCGTCCTCGAGAGGACGGAGCATTGTTCCCACAGGACCGATCACCGATGGCCAATCGTTCCTTTCTACTTTGCCAAAGGTGGCTCAAAAATGTCTTCCCTAGTCTGTCTATCCTAACGATATC